AGTGGTAACATTGGTGTAGTGTAATAGTGGTGGTAGGGTAATATGGTAATAGTGGTGGTATGGATAATAGTGTGTTAGTGTAAAGTGGTCGTAATGGCAATATTGTAGTAAGTGGAAATAGTGGTGGTATGGCAATGGTGGTAGTGGAATAGAGGCGGTAAGTGGTATAGTGTTAAAAATTGACAATTTAACTGAAGCAAAGAACTCCCCAAAAAGAAAGCAACTTAAAAAAACACTGAAAACAAAAAACTTGAAACTTTTGCTAAAATCAATTTGCTCAACTTTTACTTTAAAATTGAATGAAGGGCACAGTGAGTTGTCTTTACTTTCAATGCAACGGGGAAATACACAATAAATGAAAAATGGACCAAAAAAATTTGTGCAAAAATAAAACAGACAAAAACAATTCATAAAATAAAAAAAATGCAGACAGAAAAAAATACTATGCACAAAAAAGAGCTAAGAAAACTGCACTGAAAAAACCCCGTACAATATACAAATAACAATTTTGAACAACAATATTCAAAAAAATTTTCTGCAGGAAAAATTTTAATAGCAACACAAATTTTTGCACAAGAATTATTGCAAAATGAATAATGTGCAATAAAAAAAAATTATAACACACAAAAAAAAGAAATATATCAAGGAATGAACATTTAAAACTCTTAACTGCACTTAAAAAACAAGCAAAGAACAATTTACTTTAAAAAAAGAATTTAAAATTGCACAAGAGGGAATTTGTTTCAAAAAAACATGAAAAAAAATAGGTGCTAAAAAACACATAAAAAAAAGGTTAAACACTTACAGTGATGAAAACACAACACATCAACATTACAGTGAGCGAACACAACACATCAACATAAAACACAGTACTAAAATTTTCTTGCAAAAAAACTTGATGTGTGAAAAATTTTGTAAAAATGTTTTCTTGTTTGGGGATTTTATAAGGCACTATTGTCTGTGGAAATAAAAAACAAATTGACACTGCCTAAATAAAAGAAATGAACACAAAAATTTCAACCCAGGGAAACGAAACAATAATACCAAATACGGGGAAGAAAAAAAAAACAGACCACTGAGTTGTGATGCAGAATATGAGGAAAAAAATTTTACTGAAATACTTCCGGGAAATGAGAACACGGGTGATTCTAAAATTTAAACACAATTTCTAACTTTTTATTGTTGACACACAACAAAGGAAAACACTAAGTATTTACTTCAAGTTATAAAAAGATTCACAAACAAACAAAAAAATAATAGCACGAAAATTAAAACTAAATTAAGGGATTAAAAGAAAAAAAATGCAATCAGTCATGAAAAACATGAGTCTGATCAAGAGTCCCCAAAATTTCACTAAGAAGAAAAATCACTGGGAACAAAAAAGAAATGCCCAAAACCCCTCGCAAAGTCTCAAAAAAAAAATAAAAATTTTATTGCTTAACACTTAAATTTAGTTTGAGGGGTTTGTTTATATGGTCTTGTGCTTTTCCTTTTACAGGTGATCGTAGAACGCGTTTACATCGGCGAAAAAACCACAAGGAGGTTTTAAAGATGGCACGAAACACTCTGTCTTGCCCCCTATGTGGCCTTAAATAGGTGCTACAACCCAAGCAGTGCCCCAAAACACTGAAAAAATTTGGTGAGTGGGAATGGCGGCGAGGCGTCTGAGACCGGCAATGGTGCGAAAAACGTGATCGTGATTGGTTGGGTTAGGGTTGAACGTCTAAGCCTCATGAGAACACCCACACTGCCGCGAAGATAAAAACTAAGCCAGCTGCTTTAAAAAAAACCCACGAAATACTAAAACACCACAAGGGTGAAAAAAAACTCAAAGCTGGAGCTTTAATCACAAGCGATGAAGACTACCACTGGCTTCTCGAGTCTGGGGTAAGACCCCTGGGGTTTGTTTCAGTGGCTTATCATAACCCTTACACAGAAAAAGGCTTGATAACTTCCACGAGAGATAGCAGGGGTGGAAGTGGCTTTGGAGGGAAAAAATAATTGGATGGAGTAGGCAGGCTGACAGACTTGGTTGTTTGACTCCCCACCACAGACTGGAACTGGTTATTTTTCAAACTGGGGCAACCCCCGGAGTGGGTCAAAAAGCAAATAAACACAAAAACAAAGGGGACGACCAGTGAAAAAGTAGAAATGGTAGGAAAATTGGCGAGTAGTGACTTGAGGTAGCTGGCGGGTGAACCCCCGGTAGGCCTACTGGGGACATAAATGGCCTCTTTTCTGGTCGAAAATTTATTCCCCAAAAACGCTGTAATCCAGAATTACAGGCCCTCCCATGCCACCATTTATTAAGGGGTTTTTTAATGGAGATAACGTAGGTTGAAGGTAGACACAAATTGTAGTGGGAACTATTTTGTCAGACAATGATGGGATGGAGCCCCGGCCTGCCTGTTTGCCTGTTGGTCGCCGCCGGGGTGAGTGCGGGGCAAGGACCTACACATGCGCACCCCCGGACGTCACACAAAGTCACAGGCCTACAAGGGATCTCGTATCTAAAGCACATGGATGATACTAATATGCTATCCTATATAATACAGGGAATACAGGGATCAGCAACTATGCTGACAATATAACCTACCACCACCTCTAATTTAACCTACCACTAACTCTAATATAACCTACCACCACCTCTAATATAACCTACCACCACCTCTAATATAACCTACCACCACCTCTAATATAACCTACCACCACCTCTAATATAACCTCTCATAATATGTCACAGATCTCAGTATTATTGTTAACTATGGGTGACATTATACGCCTTTGGTGTCTTTATTCAAACACTGTGTTGGTTTAGTCTGCAGGTGTTTGTTGTATGTTGGTCTGAACTTAAGTCAACAGGTGTTTGTTGTATGTTGGCCTGAACTAAGTTAACAGGTGTTGTATGTTGGTCTGAACTTAAGTCAGCAGGTGTTTGTTGTATGTTGGTCTGAACTTAAGTCAACAGGTGTTTGTTGTATGTTGGTCTGAACTTAAGTCAACAGAGGTGTGTGTAGGTCTGAACTTAAGTTAGGGGAACTGATGTGTTTGTGTGCATTACGTTGCGTCAGTTGCGTCACTGTGAGGTCACATTATGTTGCGTCAGTTGCGTCACTGTGAGGTCACATTATGTTGCGTCAGTTGCGTCACTGTGAGGTCACATTATGTTGCGTCAGTTGTCTCACTGTGAGGTCACATTATGTTGCGTCAGTTGTGTCACTGTTAGGTCACATTATGTTGCGTCAGTTGTCTCACTGTGAGGTCACATTATGTTGCGTCAGTTGTCTCACTGTGAGGTCACATTATGTTGCGTCAGTTGTCTCACTGTGAGGTCACATTATGTTGCGTCAGTTGTCTCACTGTGAGGTCACATTATGTTGCGTCAGTTGTCTCACTGTGAGGTCACATTATGTTGCGTCAGTTGTCTCACTGTGAGGTCACATTATGTTGCGTCAGTTGTCTCACTGTGAGGTCACATTATGTTGCGTCAGTTGTCTCACTGTGAGGTCACATTATGTTGCGTCAGTTGCATCACTGTGAGGCCAGATTATGTTGCGTCAGTTGCGTCACTGTGAGGTCACATTATGTTGCGTCAGTTGCGTCACTGTGAGGTCACATTATGTTGCGTCAGTTGTGTCACTGTGAGGTCACATTATGTTGCGTCAGTTGCGTCACTGTGAGGTCACATTATGTTGCGTCAGTTGCGTCACTGAGGTCACATTATGTTGCATCAGTTGTCTCACTGTGAGGTCACATTATGTTGCGTCAGTTGCGTCACTGTGAGGTCACATTATGTTGCGTCAGTTGCGTCACTGTGAGGTCACATTATGTTGCGTCAGTTGCGTCACTGTGAGGTCACATTATGTTGCATCAGTTGTCTCACTGTGAGGTCACATTATGTTGCGTCAGTTGCGTCACTGTGAGGTCACATTATGTTGCGTCAGTTGCGTCACTGTGAGGTCACATTATGTTGCGTCAGTTGCGTCACTGTGAGGTCACATTATGTTGCGTCAGTTGCGTCACTGTGAGGTCACATTATGTTGCGTCAGTTGCGTCACTGTGAGGTCACATTATGTTGCGTCAGTTGCGTCACTGTGAGGTCACATTATGTTGCGTCAGTTGCGTCACTGTGAGGTCACATTATGTTGCGTCAGTTGCGTCACTGTGAGGTCACATTATGTTGCGTCAGTTGCGTCACTGTGAGGTCACATTATGTTGCGTCAGTTGCGTCACTGTGAGGTCACATTATGTTGCCAGTAGTTGTCTCACTGTGAGGTCACATTATGTTGCGTCAGTTGTGTCACTGTGAGGTCACATTATGTTGCGTCAGTTGTGTCACTGTGAGGTCACATTATGTTGCGTCAGTTGTGTCACTGTGAGGTCACATTATGTTGCGTCAGTTGCGTCACTGTGAGGTCACATTCCACTACCAGTTAGAATTTACTTATTAATCGCTTCTGTATATTTGTAAATGCGGTTGAGAAAGTGTTTCCAAAATTAACCATCAAGTTAACCATCAAGTTAACCATCAAGTTAACCATCAAGTTAACCATCAAGTTGACCATCAAGTTAACCATCAAGTTAACCATCAAGTTGACCATCAAGTTGACCATCAAGTTAACCATCAAGTTAACCATCAAGTTGACCATCAAGTTAACCATCAAGTTAACCATCAAGTTAACTATCAAGTTAACCATCAAGTTAACCATCAAGTTAACCATCAAGTTAACCATCAAGTTAACCATCAAGTTAACCATCAAGTTAACCATCAAGTTAACCATCAAGTTGACCATCAAGTTGACCATCAAGTTAACCATCAAGTTAACCATCAAGTAACCATCAAGTTAACCATCAAGTTGACCATCAAGTTAACCATCAAGTTAACCATCAAGTTAACCATCAAGTTAACCATCAAGTTGACCATCAAGTTAACCATCAAGTTAACCATCAAGTTAACCATCAAGTTAACCATCAAGTTGACCATGAAGTTAACCATCAAGTTGACCATCAAGTTAACCATCAAATTGACCATCAAGTTGACCATCAAGTTAACCATCAAGTTGACCATCAAATTGACCATCAAGTTGACCATCAAGTTGACCATCAAATTGACCATCAAGTTAACCATCAAGTTAACCATCAAGTTGACCATCAAATTGACCATCAAATTGACCATCAAGTTGACCATCAAGTTAACTATCAAGTTGACCATCAAATTGACCATCAAGTTGACCATCAAGTTAACCATCAAGTTGACCATCAAATTGACCATCAAGTTGACCATCAAGTTAACTATCAAGTTGACCATCAAATTGACCATCAAGTTGACCATCAAGTTAACCATCAAGTTAACTATCAAGTTGACCATCAAATTGACCATCAAGTTGACCATCAAGTTGACCATCAAGTTAACCATCAAGTTAACCATCAAGTTAACCATCAAGTTGACCATCAAATTGACCATCAAGTTGACCATCAAGTTAACTATCAAGTTAACTATCAAGTTAACCATCAAGTTAACCATCAAGTTAACCATCAAGTTAACCATCAAGTTAACTATCAAGTTAACCATCAAGTTAACCATCAAGTTGACCATCAAGTTGACCATCAAGTTAACCATCAAGTTAACTATCAAGTTAACCATCAAGTTGACCATCAAGTTGACCATCAAGTTGACCATCAAGTTGACCATCAAGTTAACCATCAAGTTAACCATCAAGTTAACCATCAAGTTGACCATCAAGTTGACCATCAAGTTGACAATCAAGTTAACCATCAAGTTAACCATCAAGTTAACCATCAAGTTAACCATCAAGTTGACCATCAAGTTGACCATCAAGTTAACCATCAAGTTAACCATCAAGTTAACCATCAAGTTGACCATCAAGTTAACCATCAAGTTAACCATCAAGTTAACCATCAAGTTGACCATCAAGTTAACCATCAAGTTGACCATCAAGTTAACCATCAAGTTGACCATCAAGTTGACCATCAAGTTGACCATCAAGTTAACCATCAAGTTGACCATCAAGTTAACCATCAAGTTGACCATCAAGTTAACCATCAAGTTAACCATCAAGTTGACCATCAAGTTAACCATCAAGTTGACCATCAAGTTAACCATCAAGTTGACCATCAAGTTAACCATCAAGTTAACCATCAAGTTGACCATCAAGTTAACCATCAAGTTAACCATCAAGTTAACCATCAAGTAAACCATCAAGTTGACCATCAAGTTGACCATCAAGTTAACCATCAAGTTAACCATCAAGTTGACCATCAAGTTAACCATCAAGTTAACCATCACGTTAACCATCAAGTTAACCATCAAGTTAACCATCAAGTTGACCATCAAGTTAACCATCAAGTTAACCATCAAGTTAACCATCAAGTTAACAATCAAGTTAACCATCAAGTTGACCATCAAGTTAACCATCAAGTTAACCATCAAGTTGACCATCAAGTTAACCATCAAGTTAACCATCAAGTTAACCATCAAGTTAACCATCAAGTTAACCATCAAGTTGACCATCAAGTTAACCATCAAGTTAACCATCAAGTTAACCATCAAGTTAACCATCAAGTTAACCATCAAGTTGACCATCAAGTTAACCATCAAGTTAACCATCAAGTTGACCATCAAGTTGACCATCAAGTTAACCATCGAGTTGACCATCAAGTTAACCATCAAGTTAACCATCAAGTTGACCATCAAGTTAACCATCGAGTTGACCATCAAGTTAACCATCAAGTTGACCATCAAGTTAACCATCAAGTTGACCATCAAGTTAACCATCGAGTTGACCATCAAGTTAACCATCAAGTTAACCATCAAGTTGACCATCAAGTTAACCATCAAGTTAACCATCAAGTTAACCATCAAGTTGACCATCAAGTTAACCATCAAGTTGACCATCAAGTTAACCATCAAGTTAACCATCAAGTTGACCATCAAGTTAACCATCAAGCTAACCATCAAGTTAACCATCAAGTTGACCATCAAGTTGACCATCAAGTTAACCATCAAGTTAACCATCAAGTTTACCATCAAGTTGACCATCAAGTTGACCATCAAGTTAACCATCAAGTTGACCATCAAGTTGACCATCAAGTTGATCATCAAGTTAACCATCAAGTTGACCATCAAGTTAACCATCAAGTTGACCATCAAGTTAACCATCAAGTTGACCATCAAGTTAACCATCAAGTTGACCATCAAGTTAACCATCAAGTTAACCATCAAGTTAACCATCAAGTTGACCATCAAGTTAACCATCAAGTTAACCATCAAGTTGACCATCAAGTTGACCATCAAGTTGACCATCAAGTTAACCCTCAAGTTAACCATCAAGTTAACCATCAAGTTAACCATCAAGTTGACCATCAAGTTAACCCTCAAGTTAACTATCAAGTTAACCATCAAGTTGACCAAGTTAACCATCAAGTTGACCATCAAGTTGACCAAGTTAACCATCAAGTTGACCATCAAGTTGACCATCAAGTTGATCATCAAGTTAACCATCAAGTTAACCATCAAGTTAACTATCAAGTTAACCATCAAGTTAACCATCAAGTTAACCATCAAGTTAACCATCAAGTTAACCATCAAGTTAACTATCAAGTTGATCATCAAGTTAACCATCAAGTTAACCATCAAGTTAACCATCAAGTTAACCATCAAGTTAACCATCAAGTTAAGTATCAAGTTAACCATCAAGTTAACCATCAAGTTAACCATCAAGTTAACCATCAAGTTAACCATCAAGTTAACCATCAAGTTAACCATCAAGTTAACCATCAAGTTAACCATCAAGTTAACCATCAAGTTATCCATCAAGTTAACCATCAAGTTAACCATCAAGTTATCCATCAAGTTAACCATCAAGTTAACCATCAAGTTAACCATCAAGTTGACCATCAAGTTAACCATCAAGTTAACCATCAAGTTAACTATCAAGTTGATCATCAAGTTAACCATCAAGTTAACCATCAAGTTAACCATCAAGTTAACTATCAAGTTGATCATCAACTTAACCATCATGTTAACCATCAAGTTAACCATCAAGTTAACCATCAAGTTAACCAGTTATATTTACAATAATTAACACTGTGTAAGACGAGCTAAATGGACACAAGTACAACTAATGTGACATTTTCTTGTGGCAACGTTTCGCTCTCCAGGAACTTTGTCAAGTTGTTATAACTTGACAAAGTTCCTGTTTTCTGTATTACATCGACTCCAGGATGTGGGACTGATCACCTCAAACTCCTTCTGATCTTCACCAGTTTTCTTTGTATTGGACTGATGAAGCCAGTGTGTGGCGAGACGATTTCCAAGTGTTGTATAGAGCGAAACGTTGCTGCAGTAAAATGTCACCTTGGTTGCAGCTGTGTCGACTGACAAGAAAGAACATGAAGGAACACTGCAGAAGGCCTACTGGCCTATGTGAGGCAGGTCCAATTCCCCCACCGGCTTAAGCCAATACCTTGACCTAGTAAGGTCAGACACGTCACTTAAAAGGGAGGAGCACTGCATCAGTACTACTAGCACAAGCTAGTCAGGTCCAACTCACACCCACCCATCTATTTATCCAACCTAGTCAGGTCCAACTCACACCCACCCATCTATCCAACCTAGTCAGGTCCAACTCACACCCACCCATCTATTTATCCAACCTAGTCAGGTCCAACTCACACCCACCCATCTATCCAACCTAGTCAGGTCCAACTCACACCCACCCATCTATCCAGCTTAGTCAGGTCCAACTCACACCCACCCATCTATTTATCCAACCTAGTCAGGTCCAACTCACACCCACCCATCTATTTATCCAACTTAGTCAGGTCCAACTCACACCCACCCATCTATTTATCCAACCTAGTCAGGTCCAACTCACACCCACCCATCTATTTATCCAACTAGTCAGGTCCAACTCACACCACCCATCTATTTATCCAACCTAGTCAGGTCCAACTCACACCCACCCATCTATTTATCCAACCTAGTCAGGTCCAACTCACACCCACCCATCTATCCAACCTAGTCAGGTCCAACTCACACCCACCCATCTATCCAACTTAGTCAGGTCCAACTCACACCCACCCATCTATTTATCCAACCTAGTCAGGTCCAACTCACACCCACCCATCTATCCAACTTAGTCAGGTCCAACTCACACCCACCCATCTATTTATCCAACCTAGTCTGGTCCAACTCGCACCCACCCATCTATTTATCCAACCTAGTCAGGTCCAACTCACACCCACCCATCTATTTATCCAACCTAGTCAGGTCCAACTCACACCCACCCATCTATTTATCCAATCTATTTTTAAAAGTACACAACGTCTTAGCTTCTATGACTGTCAGTCTAACATTATTGCTATATAAAATGAGCTTTATAGATAAGGTTACGGCATGTTGTTGGTGCAGCCAGTTCGAGCCTCGGGCTACGCTCAGTGACTCGCCAGATTGTTATATCATTATAAACAACTCTTTATTAGGCTGGCATGGTACAGTGGGTAGCGCACTGGCCTGTTTTAGGGCTGGCGTACCGTTGATTCGAACCTCCACTCCGTTCATTGATTTCCTTAATTACAGTCTGTGTCTCGTGGTTTGTCACGTCTCAGACATCCTGTTCCCATCAGTTCTTTTTAATCACCGGGGTATTTTACATGTCGTGATCATATCCCCCTGGAGCTCGACTCTTCAAGTGTTGTTAGTAAAGTTTGAGACTTACCAGTCCAGTATCCTCTGTTCTCATCCCTGTCTTGTTGTGAACCTTTAGACTCTTGTTATTGTGCTCCTTAGGTGAGACTCGTGGCACTGGGCACTCCAAAATGATCTTAATGGAAGTAGTGTATAATGTTCACTGTGAATCCTTCTTAAACATCCTGGAAACACTTTATACATGGCACTGTTTACTTATACCGTTAAAGTTGTACGACTGATATGTAGTAGTGATAGTAGTAGTAGTAGTAGTGATAGTAGTAATAGTGATAGTAGTAGTGTATAGTAGTGTGATAGTGTAGTAGTAGTGATAGTAGTAGTAGTAGTGATGTGTAGTAGTAGTGATGTAGTGTAGTAGTGATAGTAGTAGTAGTAGTGATAGTGTAGTAGTAGTAGTGATAGTAGTAGTAGTAGTGATAGTAGTAGTAGTAGTGATAGTAGTAGTAGTAGTGATAGTAGTAGTAGTAGTGATAGTAGTAGTAGTAGTGATGTAGTAGTAGTAGTGATAGTAGTAGTAGTAGTGATTAGTAGTATGTGATGTAGTGAGTAGTAGTAGTAGTGTGATATAGTTAGTTAGTAGTAGTGATGTAGTAGTAGTAGTAGTGATAGTAGTAGTAGTAGTAGTAGTAGTAGTGATTTAGTAGTGATGTAGTAGTAGTAGTGTAGTAGGTAGTAGTAGTTGTGTATAGTGTGATGTAGTGTAGTAGTAGTATGTATGTAGTGTAGTAGTAGTTATAGTAGTGTAGTAGTAGGATTGTAGTAGTAGTAGTGATAGTAGTAGTAGT